CGCGCTCTGCTGTACCTCATGGTGCCTCCCCACAGCCGCATCCATTGCGTTGCCCATCCTCATCGCAGCAAACACCTTGTCAGACCAGTCCTTCGTCGGCACATACTCGCCGTAGAACCCGCCGTCAGAGGGCGTATCCGGCATCAAGCCCCTCACGGCGTCGAAGCTCTCGTTCATGAAGTTCATGTACGGCTTCCGCAGCTGGTTCTCGTCGCTGCCCCAGTTGTACAACACCGTGCCGGTGTACGAGTGGATGTCCATGAACCACTGCACCTGCTTGTGCTCGTCCATCACCCACTTGATGCTCTGCGTCTCGGGCTCGGAAAACGGCGCCGCGCCGTGGTACGTCTCGTCCGCAGGATTCTCCGACGCGACATTCGGTCCGACGGTGGGTGCGAAGTCCTCGAGGAAGTCGAACAGGAAATCGAAGTTGCGGTTGAGGTCGATGCCCACCGCTTCCGGGTCTCCTCCTGATGCCGCCGGGTTGCGGTTCTTGCGCCAGCAGCTGCCGGTGGCCTGGTCGTACGCCACACCGTCGGGGTTACTCAGCGGCGTGAAGACGATGCCCGTCGCGAGCGCACGCTGAACGTCGCAGTTGGAGTACGTCCGGCCTCCGTACGTCAGCCCCTCGCCGTGCTTGTTGGCGTACAACAGGTCGGAGATGAAGTAGATGATGTTGTCCGAAGCACCGCGCTCGCGGGCGTGGATCGCAGCGTTGAAGTACACGCGGTACGCATCGGTGCAGTTGCCCGCGCCGCCGACCTTTGCGCCGAAGATGGTGGCGTTCTGGTACGTCTTGAAAGGCGCCTCGAAGTACTCGATGTCGTACTCGTTGACCAGTCCGCGGACGGCGCTCTTGATCTCGTTGACGTTCAGGAGAGTTGCGAGGTCGGTGCCGGCGGGCTGCGTGCCAAGTCCGCGGGGGACCTTGTTGCCGCCGTCGAAGCGGTCGCCAGTTCCGATGGCTACGCCGGTGTTGTTGTTGATCTGGCGGCGGGTGATCTTGCGGCCGGCTGCCTCGTGGGGGAGGAGGCAGGCCTCGCCGAGAAGGGCGAGGGAGAAGAGGGCGCCGACAGAAGTCTTCATTGTGAAGGACCGACGATCGAGTGAATGATTCTGGGGAGGCTTGGCTGGGGCCTGGGGAGCAAAGGCGTCGCATACTCGACGAAAACTGGTGATGCGCGTTATATAGCATGTCTGCCAAGCCTTCTCATTTGCCCTGCTCCGCCCGGATCATACCCTGGGCTTGCGCAGCTGCATGATGATGTTGATCGCCAGGCTCGTTGGCCAGGCCTGTCCTTGCCTGCCTCGCGGCTTGCAACGTCCCCAACGTTGGTGAGCATGGACTCGAGGACCATCGGCTGCGGTGTTCGGGGACAATTGAGTAGTTAAGAACTCAGTCGGCAACAGCCCAGCGCTGCTTGTCGTCAGCAATTGATTCAATATCCTTCATGTTGATGGTTCAAGATGGAACAAACCGACGCAATCATCGACAAGCGTCACCTAACGTGTACTCGACGAGGCAGCTGGCGAGACATGCAGCTGCTGACGCACTTTTCTTCCCAGGAACCACTTATCAGGAACTTTTGCGGTATGACAAGTTTGCCCGACCACAGACAATCATTTATCGCTGTTTTTTTTTCACCAATGGGCTGATGAATCCCGCGATGCCAAGGCCATCTTGCAAGGACAGACACGCGAGGCGAGCAGGGAGCTCTGGGCCACACGCGTCGTTCCCCTCACCGAGTTGCGCCAGTGTCACCTTGGGCCAGACGCCAGGGACCCCGCGGGAGCTCCGTTCGATGCGGGGGAGTTTGCCCCGATTCGGCAGGTCGATGCTACCCCGAAATTAGCGGCCCAGTGCGCCGCCCCCATGGTTCTGTTGGTCGGTGCCGAAGACGTTTCCCTCCTGTTGCTTTCCCTGTTGCTTGCTGTTGGTGTTTGTGAACTGAATTGCGTAAGACTTGAGATATTTCGAGGCAGCGTGGACCGAGACTTCTTGCCTTTCAATCCCTAGAAATAACCTTGGCTTGATTGATACGCATGAGTAATACCGACAAAGTGGTCTGGACCGACAGCTAGGAAAGAAACACGGGCTTCATCTCAGCCATTCAAAAGTTCCTCAACGAGAGTCCCAGCATTTTCCTGTTCATCCCGTGTAACCCCGTTTAAGCTTAGATTGGCTTGGCAGTGGTGATAAGACTAGCCTGGTTTTCCTTGCTTGATGTTTCCACGTGCAGCGATCTTCATCCGTTGGTGGCATCTCTCTCTCTGGCCCTCTTCATCGACGCGCTGTACTTGGCACATTGATCACACTCAAGGTCGTTGTAACCAGACTGTAGGGCCAACATGACAACCTCAACGCATGCGTTGAAAATCATTCGGTAGGAAACCCATCGGATCAATGATTCTCGCCTGAGCAGAATGTGTAGCCTAACCGAGCAACTTAACCCGTCAGAAATAAAGAGGCTCTTGCACCTAATTAGAGCACAAGACCCACTGACAAATTTAATGCATTAGTTTTCTAGCGCTTTTGAGCAGAATGAGCATGCTCTTAAGTCAGCTAGGTTGATCAAGACTTTTGCTATCCGGGGAGTGCCCCCTATAAGTTCCATTGAAGTATACTTAATGCTTCAATCTGACGATAGACGACGATAATAGCGACGAGGACGATAGTAATAACCACAACGCCTTAGTATGGTAAAATAAGGGGGCCTTAGTGCGTTGGACACTGCCCGGCTAGCAAAACTCTTCGTCAAACCACTCTTGTCCTTAGACAGTCATCTTTGAAACTCGAGCCTTAATAACATAGGGTCTAATTGATATTTCTCATATTGATCGCGTCTGCTGTCACTGACAGGTAACCATTTGCCCCGCAATTCAAGAACTCAGGAGCAATCCGAATCAGACCAGAAGAGTCTACGTTATGCACTGACAGCATGGTAAGGGGCTGACTGCGCGGGGAAATCAAATGAAGTCCTGGGCTAGTAAATTTACAGCCGCAGGCGAGACTAGTTTCCCTTCCTACCTCTCTGGGGCTTGAGCATAACTGACCCCTTGTGACACTTCGGAAAAGGGAAGTGGCAACGCAGAACACTGCCATCACATAACTGAGCGACCATCATCACCTCTCTAAGCACCAGACCTCGACATGATCAACATGACACACAGCCTTTCCATCCAGCCCATTAGAGCTTGATGAGAATTGCAGCTGGTTAAAGGAGTTTAGGCCTTTGGAAGATTTGGGGGACAGAACTATGCATGTATTGAGCAGCGTTCGTTGTCTCAGGTACTTGGATTCCGATCAGCTGAGTTTTATGTTCTTAATAGGAACGCTAATTGCCATCGTCCTATTTTATTCTCTCGCACCAAATTAACCTTGACAGCAGTAATCGTGACTTCCCTTACGCGGAACACCAACAATCACAGCTTCCCTCAGGAGTTGCCATTGAAAGAGAATTAGCCATTAGGCACTGCATATTGTCAGCGAAGCAAACAAGAACGACTGTCCATAACTCACTTTTTCCTCGCAAAGATTGTCGCACGTCAAATGATCAGCCTTTGAACAGTTTGTTTCCCACTGTGAAGTATCAGTTACCAGTCTACTGCAGCGTTTGTAGTTCCTTACATCATTGGGGTAGGACTTGTTACAATGAATATCTCTGACGCCGGCAAATGCTACTGAGATGTGTATCGTAACGGCAATCCAAGTAAAACGGTTGAATCTCATGATGCAAATAGTGACGAAACTGGGAACGATTGGTTATAAGTCCTGCGAAAGACAACGGAACATATGCCTTCGTGGCTGCTACCCGTGGCCTTAAATAACAAAGTGGATGCGCAGACCGTTTGGTTAGGTCGCTTTTGATATGACTCGCATGAGATCATTTTTCGCTATTGAAGTTTCCTTCTGGGCAGAAGTAAATTAAACGGCAGGTGTAGTCTGTGTATTCGTGGTGGGCGCAGCACACTGATTGACCCGTCGTCGGGTTTCAGGTTGGGTCTGACACGCTGACGTGGGAAGTCCCACGGGGCCGGTTTGGCTTAGCGATCGGGATCGGACAATTCGGACAGTTCAATATTGCGAAAGATGTCCGTGGTCTCGGCGAGATTATGACAACAGACTGGGGAGTAGCCAAGAGCAACTCAGCTGAGATGGCATGCGTCAAATCTTTTTATATATATTTTTTGTTTTCAATTCATTACATTCACCATTCCTCCGGTTATCACTGAGCGCGTCTTGAAATGAAAAACCGGCATGCAGGCAGCTCAGGCAGACCCTCTATACACGACATACATCACCATTTTGTGTAGGCAACTCATTCAACTGGCCCGTCACGTACCGGTCCTCGCTACCCGTCCCTATTTGGGTGTGAAATAACCCAGATAGATCGTACCTCTGCTTGACCTGATTTACAGTCGTTTGTAGTCGCTGCCATAGAATGACTGCTGCTCTAAAACATCACCCTCGCTGGCGTAAGCGCCCGAATCTGGGCTGAATCTCGCCAAGGTTGCCTCCAAACTGCTGTTAGGCTCTTACTCAGCTCGGCTGTACGTGAAAGCGAAGTATCTGCATCCCAAGTAACCCAAGACATCGCGAACCCGGCAGTATCCCGCCAGGCAGGATTCACCGCGTTGTCAGGGCAAGGGCCGGAACCAGCGGTGACGCCGAAACCGATTAAAGTTCCCGCTTGGTCTGAAAAGATCCTTTAAAGCCTCATTCTAATATTTCTTGTTAAATCCACGGGATTGCTGATATTCTCCTGAGGAAAGAGGCGTGATGCCATCTTATTTCCGTGAGACTCAACAGGTTCAACCAGAAAGCCGGCTGCCCATGCCGAGAGAAACGTCGAGTACTCGGACCATTCCGGTTCAACATTGATACCGAGAGCCCTTCACTTTGCAAATGGCAGCGCTGTGAGCTAGACTGCTTCTGCCGCTGTCATATTCGGAGCGAACCAGGGCGACATGACGAATGAGGCTTAGGCCCTGCAGGCCAGATGAACCACTACCGGTACTTTTCACGGGCGTTGAAAGTGGCTATCATCTACCAGTAAGCTCGCACAGCCTCCCATAATGCTTCATAGGTGACCGACCGTAGAGCCGTTGATACCGAAGCTGGAACGACAACGGAGATGACGGGCAGGCTGGGGTGGGCTTTGATGAAGTACGAAGTCACGACGCCAAAGGTGCCTCCGCCACCTCCCCGGAGAGCCCAAAACAGGCCTGTTCTTCTTCTCACTCGCTATGATGGATCTACCATCGGGCATCACGACGTCAATGGCAAGGACGTGGCCAGCAGCAAGACCGTACAATGGGTTAATAGGGTGCCCGCCACCAGCAATTTAGCCTCCTCCGAAGCCGACAGTCTTGCTCTCTCCTCCAATCACAACGACACCATGCGCATCTGCAGCTTCGTAAAGTTCGTAAATAAGAATTCCATCCCCAACCTTCATCGCAGATCCTGTGTGCGTTGGGGTGTTGTAATCTTTGCAGAACTCAAGTCCTTTCAGCTTGTTCGTCCAGATTGATAGACCACCGGAACCAAGAAATCAGCCGCTGAGGTCGTGGCCGGTAGTTGTGACCACAAGGCGCAAGATATGAGTGCCGGTGAAGTTAGCCGCAAGCTGCATCTGGGCTACCTTAGTCGCTTCAAAAATGTACTCCAGGAATCCTCCCAAAGTGCAGTTAGTGGAATAGTTCTTAGAAAGAAGGCACGCAAGCCCTTAATAGAAGGAAGTCATTGCCGAGCTTGGGTTAGAAATACTGGACACGAGTCTTAGCTCAGATGATGCGCGTGGTAGGCCCATATCCCTAAAGTTGACTCATTGCAACATCGAATTGTTCTATCTAATAGTGCTGATGATTTCGCATGCAGTAGCATCCTGATTACCGAAACCATCCACGTGTGCGGATGCGAGAGAAATCATCTTGATTAACACGTCGCCCAGAAGCAAATTGAAAGCTTTCCAGGAACTTTCATTGGGCCTCTCCGGGATACATCTTGTAGCGCTCAGTACCACGCTTTTGAGATGAACTTTGACATTTTTTTCCAGTGGTATTGCCGCCGAAATGAAAATATGAGATTTCAGTAAGAACTAGCCTTATGAGATTTACAAGAGCTTGATCCGTCAGTTGAAGAGACTCTTCTGGGAGAAAATCTCCGGGGACGTAGCTGACGGCGGGGGCAACGTTTTCCTTCGTTGCGTTTGAAGTGCGTGAGATAATATTCAACCTAGGGTGTGATCTTCTCCCTAGTACTAGCACTAGTACTAGAGATTTAATAGCAAAAGTGACCTCTAATAATACCCTACGTCCCTTATGTAATTTTAGATTTATAATAGAAATACCTATTTTACTACTAAGTTAGTATTTTAATTAAATTTAATAAAGGATATACTTACTACCTTTATAGCTAAGGTCTCTAGCTAGCTAGCTAGTATACCTTATTAATTTATATAAACTTTACTTATATTATAGCCTCCTATATATTATAATAAAAACGCTAAATTTATACCTTCTTATAATAACTTTAAGTACTTCTATATATAACTAATAAACTAATAAAGGCTTAGATATCTAAGAAGGTATTATTATTATTATACCTATTATAGAAGAGAGTTTTAACTCTAATAATAATAAAGTTAAATAGATTAAACTACTACCTATTAAGCTAGTAAATCTAAGATTAAGAAAGTAAAAGAGAATATCTTAGTTAAATAATAATACCTCTCTATTTATAATTAAAGCTAATAAGGCTAAAAATAAAGACTTATAGATATACTAATTAGCTTATTAAATAGTAGTATTTATATAAGATCTTCTATATACTTTTTAAGAGAAGAAGCTGAATATTAATAAGCTATAAGCTTTAAAACTAATATAAGTAGAGATTATAAAAAGCTTTAATAATATAAAGGTTTTTAACTATACTATAATACTAAACTATATATATAATAAGTTCTATATTAAGAAGAAGAAGTTCTCTCTATAAGTATAAGTAGTACTAAAATCTAATAATACCTTTAATAAGATTACTAGTATAATATATACTAATAAAGATAAAAAAATAGTATTCTTAGTTAATGACTTAAAAGTATTATAAATTTAGAATAGAGGGTTAAGTTAGCTTTAGCCCTATTTAGAGATATAGAATAGAGGCTTAGGTATTAGTAATAATATATATATTATAGAAGACCTTATATAAGTAAGGGACTTTAATATAGAGGATAATATTAAGAGTAATAAGAGTAGTTATAAAGAGGAAGTTAATAACTTTATTAAGGAGGAGGATAATATTATTAATAATACTCCTAATCTACTTACTTTATTAACCTTATAAAGTAATTACTTTATATTAAGTATACTATTATATATACCTTCACTTTAATATTTAGTATTATAAATACTATATAAAGGTATTTAGGGGCTATAGGCTATAGTTAGGTTAAACTAATAGAAGAAGCACCTAAAAGGTAGGTATAGTATTACTACACTACTTTTACTTACTTTTTCTAAAATCTTCTTTTCTAACTCTTTAGTAAGTACTTACTAAATCCTTACTATAGAGGGTTCTATACTCTATTTCTATAGGGTTCTCTATCCTTTTAACTTAATTTAGCTAAACTATCCTTAAGTCTTTTTAGTCTAAGTAACTAGACCTTTATAATTATCCCCCTTCTAATTATAGTAATCCCTACTATAAAATAGGATTAGTAGTAGGTAAGAACCTCTATTATCTATAATAAGCTTTTTATAGTTACTATTATTATTATAGGTTATATCTATTATCTATATAGTAGTTATCTACTATATATTCGCTAAAGCTTTCTTATCCCTTAGTATTATTATTATCTCTATAAGTTCTATAATCCTACCCTTAAGGTTATATTATTTATTAAATAGGATTTTATTAGAGGTCTCTCTTATTCCTTAAAGAAAGAAATTATCTTTAGTAGGTTTTATATTCTTTACTTATAGATATTTTATTCTTTATTTAGTAAGTTCTCTCTAAATAATAGCTTTATAATAACTTTATTCTCTTATCTTATTTATCCCCTTTTTAAAATAGGCCTATTATAAAGCTATTTAGAATATTAGATAGTAACTACTATTATTAATTTACTATACTTACCTTCTCACTTTTAGTAGTACTTATTATAATAAATAACTACTATTCTTACTATCTAAAGTTATAGCTACCTCCCTAACTATTTAATAATACCTTATATCTATCTATAAAGTAATACCTTTTTTCCTACTTAAGGTTAGTTTTTTTTTTTTTTTCTTCCTCCTTATTATATTATATTATAATAACTTTTATATTTTATAAAGCTTTATTAAGCCTTTATAAAGCTTTCCCCTTTTAATACTACTTTTATATCTAATTATTATAAGTATTAAGACCCTAATCGCTTATATTCTAGCGTTATATAAGCCTAATAACTTAGTAAAGAATAGTAGTACTTATTAGTATAACTAATTAGGTAGTAGTAAGCCTTATATCTCTTACGCTTTATAGCTCTATTAGACTACTAGAGTAGTATATACCTATACTAATATAGGTAATACTACCTACTAGATATATCGTTTATATAATATTAAATATTATAAAGTAAGTATTTAGTAACTTTTTACTAAAGTATTAGACTAACTATTAATATAACTAAATCCCTAACTACTTAGTTAATAGTACTTAAATCTTCTAGAACTAAGTAAAGTACTATACTACTTAGATTAAAGCTAATAAGTATTATTAGCGTGAGATTTACTATATATATACTATAATTATAAATAGTTAAGTACTTCTCCTATTATTCTATAAGTAGTTAGTAAACCTTATTAAGCTTTAGCTTAACTCTAAGTAGTATAATAACTAATTACTATAGATAAATACTAAGGAGACTACTACTAATTACGCCTAAGCGTATCTTAAGATCTAGCTTAAGGTATATAATCCTTTAAATTAGGTTTTTCTTTAATAGCTAATAATTTCTTTATAGAATACTTATTAAAAAAAGGATAAAAACCTTATTAAATAGACTTATCTTTAGTTTAAGAATACCCTACCCTAATATTTCTAAGATAAGAGCTATATCTTTAATTAAGCTTAGTTCCTCAATAAACTTAATAATATCCTAGAGAAGTATCTCTTAAGTAATAACTTTTATATATCTAGCTTACTTATTTAAGATCCCTCTAAGGTTTAAGCTTCTTAGATATTTTATAATTCTTATAAGTATATTTTAGTTATAATCCTCAAATATATTAGCTTTAGCCCTACTCCCTAACCTAATACTTATAAAGATATTAGTACCTCTTCTATAAGTATTTATAAGAATTTTATTAGTTTTAAGGAGGAGAATAAATTATTAAAAAGTAAAAGTAATAATAGTAAGAATAATATAGATATTAATCTTAATAATAATAGTATTAGTAAGGATTTAAGTAACTTAGAAGATAATTTTTAGTAGTTTTTAGTAGATCTTTAGTAAATATATAGTAGCTTTTCTTTAGAGTTCTTAGTTAAATACCTTTAAGTTTATATATTACTTTTAAGAGTAGTTTTCTTTAGAGTCTTTTTATAGTTAATTAACTTTTCTTTATTTCTCTATACTACTTATTATCCTATTTATAATATAACTTATACTATTACTTCTTAAATCTTATAAGGATTTATAAAATATTTACTAAGTATTCTTTAAGCTTCTAAGTGTTATATTTTATTAGTTAGCTTTTCTACTTAACTAAATATAAGGGGCTTACTAATATATCCCTTTATAATATAATATCCTTAACTTCCTATTCTTTAAGGTCTTCTTTTAAGTTTAGAAGCTATTTTTTAGTAAGCTTTTAGCTATACTATAGCTCTAATAAAGTAACTAAGAAGATATTATATACTTTATTATATTTTTCTAGAAGCTATACTCTATAGGCGTTAGGGCTTATAACCTCTATAATTAGTATAGGAATAAATTATAAAGTAAGTTTTTACTAACCCTTTATAAAGTAGAAGTTTTTTATTAAAAGTTTTATAATATCTCTAACTTTATATAATTATACCTTCTTTTTAGTATTTATATTTTTAGCTTATACTTCTATTATATATCGCTAATTCTTAGCTATCTTTTAGTAAACCTCTATTAGCTTCTTAAGCCTTTTATTAACCTCTTAGATTCTAATCTTAATACCTAATAGGTAGTAATTAATTATTTAAAGGTAGTAACCTATAAAGGCCTTAAATAGTAATATATTAATAATAATATATCTATTATTATTATATAAGAATTTAGCTTTAATTAGCTATATTACCTACTAATTATATAAACTTTTATTAAACTTTAAGAGGTATATAATTAAGGTTTAATATATTCTCTTAGTTTAGCTATCTATTTATAGATACTATATAATAGAGATATACCTTTCTATATCTTAAGCCTTAATTTAGTCTTACTAGAACTAGCTAGTAATTAATTTATCTTAATTACTAATAATAGCTTTAAGTATACTATACTAATATTTAATCTCTTAGTATAAGATCCTTACTAAATCTATAGTATTTAGTTACTTAGTTATTACTAGAAATCATACTACTTTAGTTATTTAATATATAACTATTAGGATTATATTATATATAATCCTATTATCTTAGTAACTCTCTAATAAACTAGTTAAGAAGTCTAAAGAAATCTATTAAAATAAGTATACTAGTAATTCTAATATTTATAGTAATCTATATAGCTTATACTATAATATATATACTCTTTAGTAATATAGGTACTTAGTAATATATTATTATATATCCTCTATTAGGTATAGTTAATAGAATTTTTATAAGATTAGTTCTACTATCTTATTCACCTCTATATACCTTAATCTAAGCGTATTATAGTAGTTTTTTAGGATTTTATAGTAAAAGGATCCCTCTTCTAGGATAATAAGTCTTCTTTTAAACTAAAAGATATTATTTTTATTAAGTTAGTACCCTTAGTATTCCTTAGTATCTTAGTAAACCTTAGCTATAAGTTCTCTATAGAAGTAGTTTTTAGTCTATAGTCTTCTAACTATCTATTTAAGATTTATAC